TATGGTATTTTGTGATAGTCAGAGTGTTATACATTTAACGAAGCATCAGATGTATCTTGAAAGAACCAAACATATAGATGTCAGGTATTATTTTATCAGCGAAATTAAAGTCATCAAGATTAAAAAAATTGGTACTGTAGATAATCCAGTAGATATGATGACGAAGCCACTATCTTCACGCAAGTTGGAGCATTATCTTGAATTGTTTAGAGTTTAACAAAGCAGAGATTAAGCTCGTAAGGGGCTTCTTACGAGACAACAAGAATGAAGAGAAGACCTTCATATTCAAAGTCAAGGTAGAGATTTGTTATTTGACTTTGAATTCAACTCACCAAACTTTACTGTTCCACCAACCCAAAATACTATTTCACCAATCCAAAACATTATTCCACTAACCCTTTTGAAGACTATAAATAGAGGAGAGTAGTGAAGGGTTAGAGCATCGAACAAAAATTCAGAACAGAGAGAAGAAAGAGAGATTTGAAGAGAAAAGGAAAAGAGAGTTTTTTTAGTGCTCTTCTTTGTGTGAGTTTGGTGAGACATTAGAGTAATCACTCGTTGTAATCTTCTCTTTTATGATTAGTGAAGTTCTCTACTGTTATCGCCCATGGACGTAGGTTATACTAACCAAACCACGTTAAATCTTTGTGTGTTGTTCTCTTTGTCTTCACTGTGTTTATTCAGTGTTATTATTCTCCACTTTTGTATTGATATCTTCTGTATCTATGAAGCCCCCCGCTGCAACATCTGCTATATTTTTTGATTGACTTCTCAAATACTAACGTTTGCTAAGAAATTTAGAGTTTTTTGCATATACACCCCCTCCTCAACCTCTCTCTCTCCGCTCCCTTCCCCCTCTAGTTGTCTGCCTCCACTATTTTCCATTCTCGGGTAAATGTTTGAGAGGAAAAAGGAGAGAGAAAATTGAGAGGAGGGAAGGGAAGAGAAGAGTGAGGGGATAGAGATGAGAGAGGTTGAGAAAGATGGTTAAGATTGTAGAATGAGGGAGACGAGATAAGGGTCGAGATCTTTGTGAGGAGGAAAGAGCGAGAGAGTGGAAGAGGAGAGGATAGATTAGGGATACAGAGAAGAGGATGATGGAAGAGATGGTGTAGAGAGAGAGAGAGAGTGTGTGTGTGTTGGAAAGATTAAAATTTGGACAGTAAATCTGAAACCATGAGAGATATGAAGGGTATGTACGCAAAAAGCTCTTTAGTTTTTCCACTCAAAAAAAAGTGTTAGGAAATGCCTTGCTAGTAAACTAGGTCACTTTTAAGTCTTGTTGTCACCGACATATTTTTTTAGATCATGTTCGTAAAAAGGTGTCACCTGTCATGCCAATATGGTAATTTAATCTTTTTCTTTAATTCATTTATAATATTTTTCCTACAAACTTAGGCAAAATTGCTTGGAGCAAGCAATTTTCAAAAAGTTATGCACTTTCCACCCCAACTAGAGTCAACCCTATTTAAACTCTTTGACCCAACTTTCCATGCTAAAACACCCCTAGTCTAACATTGTATAAAGTCTATATACTGTATTTTGAAGTATTGCCCAGTTTACGCTTTTGTACCCTTTCGTGAAGTGACAATTTTTTCCTCATTAGACAGCCCTCATTACTTCATACGTAAGAAGTGATTGGTTTAAGAGAAGAAAGAAGAATGACATTTATGGTTGGGATAGATTTATTGGAGGAAAAGGGAAAATTGGTGGGAAACATACTATGTTCCCTCCAAATAATATCCCATGTCAAGGTAATATCTTCTTTCCTCTTTAGATTCTACTCAACAACCTTCAACAACCAAAATGCTCTTAACTCTATCCTCTTAACTTCTCCAACAACCAAAATGGAAGAATCTTTAATATGTGTGATTTTGCTAAACACCACTGCAACCCTCATTAAAGTCAATTCTGCAACAAGTTTAGCTAAATTAAAGATGCACGATGTGGAGAATTTAACAGTACGGTATGAAAGTTTGTTGATAAGTTACTCTCTCGAGAAGTTTTCCAATGTCTTATTTGAGCTTGTGAAAGATGAAGATATTCTCAACATGATAGATTATCATCATTCAATAGGGTCAAATACGATTACCATGACTATTATTAAAAGAGATGAAGGATCTACGCATGCCATAGGGATAGAAGTAGGGACAGAAACAAAAGTTAAGTAAGTATTCAAAAGATTCTTTTTAGGTTTTGTATACACGTTATAATATAAACTATGATACTTATGTCTTATATGTGACCTGTAGACATTGCACGTGACATATTGACTTTATTTGTGACATATACAAGTTAACAATTATTTGTAATTACCACACGTGACTTATATGTATGTTATATTCAATTTGTAGTCTTTCTACTATAACCTCACAGTCATCAGAGCATATCCAGTAATCAGAGAGGATCCTAAATGTCAATCCTCAAGGAGAGCATGTGTGGATGATGGATGACATAGTAAGTGACTTGACAGGAATTCCTGCATGGTGGCACTGGGCAATTACTAGAAAAGGGCAGCAATTTGAAAGTGCAAAATAAATTAGAATGACTCTTATATACTACTCTATAGTTAAGAAGTTCTCTTCCAAAGATGTTAACAATGAGCCAAAATGCATTCGTGCTAATTGCATGTTCAAAACAGAAAACAAAATGCCCGTGGGTGCTTTACACTTCACCATTGAGCCATGTGTCAACCTTTGCTATAAAAAAATTTGTTTCTCAACATACTTGTGGACAACATAACACCACAACTGGTAATTCTTGAGCATCGAGAAGGCGGATTGTGAGTATGCTACAATTAATTATAAAGAGGCATCCATATACCACCCCAACTGACATTAGAAAGGAATTACACTCTCAATATGGTTTAAAATTTAATTACTCTGAAGCTTGGCATGCTAAAGAGACAGTAAAAGACCAAATATTTGGTTGTGCAAGGCATTCATATAGTTTACTATCCTGGTTAGTCCATTAATTTGTTAACCTTAATTGTGATTCATTAACCTTAAATGTGACATTTTAGAATGCTAAGTGACGTATAAGTATAGTATGAGACATTTAGACATAATATGCGACTTTTAGGTTTTATATGTGAGATTTCGACATTATATTTGACATTTCGATCTCACATGTGACATTATGGTCTTACATGTAACATCCAGACCTTATATGTGACATGCATGTCTTACTTGTGACAATTAGAACTTATTCATCATTTAACAAATTATTTGTCCTTTTAATCGTCATGTAAAGGTACCAAATGAAGGTGATGGAAACAAACCCAGATAGTGTTGTCATTATTGAACAAGAAGAAAGGAGATTCAAGCATTTATTTATGTCCTATAGTGCATGCATGTAGGGGTTTCTCAAGGGATGTAGGCCACTGCTCTTTCTAGATGGGACTTTTCTTAAAGATCATTACAAAGAGATCTTATTAGGTGTGGCTGCTTATGATGGTAATCAAGGCATATTTTCACTCACATTTTACATTTGTGACCAAGAAAATGAAGCAAATTGGAGTTGGTTTATTTAAGGATTGTGGTATATTTTGTACCATTGAACAGAACCATATAATCCACCCCATCCTCTAGTCATTTTGTCAGATTCCAACAAAGGAATAAAACAATCTTTAAAAGATATTTTTTTAGATGTGCACCATTCCAGATGTGTACTTCATCTTGTTGATAATTACAAATTAAAGCTTAGAAAGATAGGTTTTGCCTCAAGTGCTGCTCAACGGATTTCAAAATTGCTGGAGTTTGCCGTATACAAATATACGAAAAGAGAATTTAAAGCTGTTTTACATGAGATTAGGATGACGGATGAAAGAGCTTACTAATTAGCTCTCAATTATGGTCCAAATATTTGGGCCAAGTCTGTATTTCCTAGTATAAAGTATGTCAAATATCAGTCATTTTCTATGAATTTGTTCTGTTAAATATCACACTATGATTTTATATGCGACATTCATCTGTTATGTGTGACCTTTACTCGTCTCTTGTGACATTATTTATTTAGGTGTGACTTTTATCGATACGTTGTGACGATGTACTGTTTCTTGTGACATTTGTAGGTTATATGTGACACATTGCTATACTTTGTTATAGTGAATTTCTGTTTGATACGTATGATATTTATTTACAGATATGGTTATATCACTTTCAATGTTGCTGAATATTTCAACATTTGGTTCGTGTGGCGAGAACACTTCATGTTTGCGATATGATAGATCACATTAGCATACAAATAATGGAAAGGATGAAAACTTAGAACGAGATGGCAACAAAATATAATAGCTATCTATGTCCTGAAGCGAAAAAATTCTCCAAGAAAATTGTTTGAAGGGAAGCACTCTTGAAGTCTCACATTCTACAGCTGAAATCTTTGAGGTATCATCTCAAAAATCAGAACAAGTTGATTTGGAACCAAAAACACGCACATGTCGTGCATGGGATATATTGTGAATACCATGTAAACATGCATGTGTTGCTATTAACTTTATACATAGAGATGTGTACCAATATTACGATTGGTTCATGATGACTAAAGCTTTCAAGAAAAGTTACAATCCAATTCGCTTTCCTGTTCCAAATTACGACAAGCCAGATGTCATAAATAAAACAGTTAGCATACTTCCCCCAAAGACGACAAAGTGACGTAGAAGAAATAAGAATAGACGTATCGACAACCAATCTGAGAATAGACATCTAATTAAATGCTCAAGGTGTCACGCTGAAGGACATAACCAAGCTACAAGAACAGAACCTATCCAAGACTAGCATTTCCTGGCAGAATTCAAACTCTTTTGGGACTGTTGTCTGTTATATGTTACTTTTGTCATTTTGTTGTGACATTTAGTTGTTAAATGTTACATATTACATGTTCGTGTGAATTATTGGTGTTATCTGTGACAGCTGTAGGTTTTATAATTTTAGATTCCATATAATACGCTAAAAGTTCATGGGAATAAGCACAAATGCAAATTTCACCACAGCCACCACAAGTTTCAAACTTTACAAAGAAAAAAAATTAGCCACATCCATCACAAAATTATGTTATACATGTTTGTCTAATACTTCCACTCAATCATGGTACATCATTACCTCCAAAATACAAAAAATATTTTGGATCATCTGCATCTAACTTTAGTGTAGGCTTTTTCAGTTCTCAGTCTTCGCATATAATTTGAGCAGCAAGTCATGCCCTTAACATCTCAGACTCCTTTTGTAAAGCCTCAATGTCCATGACCTCCTTTTCTTCTAGGATAGCTTTGATATATAAATATGCTTGTATGCTACAATCGTACCTAAATAGAAAAGAGGTGAAGTAGCAGTCATATACAGAAAAAAATTGAATGTGTAAGATGTACGTATCATAGGAAATTACTAACTGTCACAGAGTATACATAATTGACATGTGTAATATGTAAACATCACAAGAAATAAATAATTATCACATGATTTATGTTGGTTACCTCCTCAACTTCAATGTCCATGTCGGCTCTGTCATCCTTAACTTCTTCCATTTCTTTGCCTCGATCATCTTCTTTCTATGCCTCATCTTTTCCCTCTATCTCTCTCTGAGGCTGCATAAATGTCAAAGAAATAAATGAAACTTTTACAAAGAACGAATGAGTACATGAAGCATGAGAAAATGTATTGCCTCCTCATCCTACTTTTCTCTTTCTTGTTTCTGTTTAGCAAATCTTTTCTCGATATCAACCTTAATGGCCTTCGTATCAATGCCAAGTGAGACAAGTTCTTGCTCATAGACTTCATTCAGTATTGACAGCTTCTCATAAGCTTCAGTCTACATTAACAACTAAGTTTCAGTGAGCAAACATCACATATAAGAAGGTCATACATAAATATCACATAAACACTATATCTATCACAATAAACTGCTAATTGTCACAGGGAATAACCAATTGGCAAAGATAACAATGTATCATAGTCTACATGTAAATGTCACAAAAAATAGGTAAAAGTCACAGAGTTACACTTATTGTCACAGAGTTCATATAACCGTTACATGCAATAAACAATAATCACATAAAATACTATTATTGCTATCAAAATGTAAACATCATATGATAAGAAATAAACTTGTCTCACCAATGCAACAGTCGATTGACTCCCTTCCTCTTTTTTTACTCTTTTATTTCTTAAAGAGTTTTCAGAGTCCAATTTCTCCTCTCTTTTAGCCTTCCTTCTTGTTGGCTCTTGCTTAATCTCCTCATGCACGTACCGTGACATATCTTGCTCTGGTAAGATGTGGATAGCGGCTTCTGACTTCTTCAATATCATTGGACTCCGCAATGAACCCACTTTCTTAACTTACAGAGTCCAATTTTTTCTTCAATATCATTGGACTCCGCAATGAACCCACTTTCTTAACTTACAGAGTCTAATTTTTCATGGGTGGCTTGAAATCATTGACTCTGGCATATTCTTTGATGTTTGTTATCTCATAGTACCATAGCTTCAAAAAAGCAACATTCATTCGATAAAGTCAGCTCATTTCATATCACTTATCATAGGTAAAAACTATCACAAATATTACATATCAGTAACACATGTCACATGTAAACGTCAGATATCACAAGTTAGAGACAAATGTCACATATTAACTATAAATATCAAAATTAAGTAATACAAATCAGGGATCAATGTCACATATGGGGGATAAATGTCACATATCACTAACATATATCACATGTAAAAGACAATTATCACAAATAAGGGGCAAACGCAACATATTAACTACAAATAACACAAATAACTCATCGATAGCATAGGAGCGCAGCCACTCAGGTATGTCAGTCCCTTTTTAGCGACTTTGATAGCTTTTAGAGAACGCCACAATTCATTGTAGATGATGGTCGCCCATGGTAAATGATCAACTACATCTATCAGAGTCATATACTTCAACATATGCCATGGTGTGTTCATTCTAGCAATTGGAGTCCATATCATTGTTAGTTGATAAAGGATTTGAAGCATAACAATGTCAGAAACATATGATTTCTCTTCTGACCTAACTAGTTTATCCAATAAGGCCTCAAGGTAATCTTGGACACTCTTGTAAGCATCTTGTTGTTTGTTACTGAAGTACGTACTATATATCCTACTCACCGTATCACGATTTCCTTCCGGTTTCTCCCCTTCATCCTTGAACCAGGTATGTTTTTCACCCAATTTACATCAAATGTGAAGGCATGTTTTTTCCCCATTTGGTTACCCTTAAAAAAACTTTCTAGTAGCCCAATCTAGGTGATCTATCAGTAGCATGATCGTGGCTTTGTCAAATGAAATTTCTCCAAAACTAATATAGTTTTAAAAATTAGAGGATCCATAAGCCTTCTAATATTCGGCGCTCATTCGTGGAATAATTCCATCCATGAATTCACAATATCCACGTATATTACAACATATTCTGATATCATGCTTAGTGTAATACACAACACAAGAGAAACTAAATCTACTTAGCGTTCTACTACGGATAAATTCACAATGCCAAACAAAATAAATGAACAAATATGGATAATTCAATTGATACTTACAACTCAGCCTTTATTGTTGCTGATACAGATGACTCAGATGATGAAAATGATGAATTCACCATCCTATATTTTTAACAAATTGTGGGTTTGATGAAGAAGAGGGACTTGTGGTCGGCGGACGACGAAACAAATACGAGGACGAGCGGATGAGCAGACAATGAGCTTGCAGTTAGCGGTGTCCTTGTCGGAACGAAGACGACTACGAGGTTCCTTCTTCTGGCCGTACGGGGCGATGACCAAGAAAATATGACCAGGAGGCGATGGATCGAAGCTGTAGGGGTTCTCTTCGGTAGTCGGGGTTCTCGTCGACGGGTGTGGAGGAGTGAGATTTTGAGAGGAAGAGGGTGATGAGAAAATTGGTTGCACAAGGTTTCGAAGATCGTGCTCAGGGGGGGATTTTTTGAGCAGATATTTTTTGTTTTAAATGGGAAGGATAATTTCGGAATAGCTTTATTGGGTAGTGGCTTGTACAGTATTTGGGGAATAGTTGCACTAAAGTTTTATTATGAGGGTTGGAGAGCACAGGTTTTTTGGCTGGGGAGGAGGATGCATAGCCCAACTTTTTGGTGTTCCTCCAAGCAACTTTCACATAAACTTATCATAATGTCATAGACCATATGCTTTTTTCGTGGTCAGCTAAAAATTAAAAATAAAATAAAAAAATAAACAGATCGAAAACGTTTTTGAAAATTGGTCCCTTAAAAGTAAAATAGTTAACAGTTTGAATTAATCCCTCAAATCATTTAAAATTTGAAATTGCTATCAAGTCGCTCAAATCTTAATCGTCATTTCAAATTAGTTCCTCTTTAGTTATTTTGTATAAATTATTAACTCAAATTGGGTTAGTTATTTACCAAACATGTTGAACTATATTTCTATCCTGATTTGGCCTGCAGCCAAAATCCTAAAATATTTAAATAAATAGATTTAACAGGTTTAGAAACTCATGTTCGATTTTAATTTACAAGTGGGTTCGGATTGGAATAACTCAAAGAAATGGGTATAACCAGAATCCATGACAAAAAGTTAAATGGAATGCACTCCTCAAATCAAACAGTAGCTCACTGCAGACACTGAAAATAGAAATAACTAATAGGATTAAAGGGACCAAATAGCAATTTCAATGACTTTGAAGAACCGATTTCAAAATGATTAAATTAGACTTAAAAGGAGCCGATTTCAAAAAACAAAAAACAAAAAATAAAGATAAAAATAAAAAAAACAAAATAAAAAATTGTTTACATTTTTCATTAGACATGGATAGAGAGAGTGACCAATGAATGTCTCAAAAGATGAGCACAATTATGAGAAGACAACTTAAATAAGAGTATGTAATAAGATTCTAGGCTTTTTGCTAATATTCAGTGCATCACTGCATTGTAAGTCATCAATGCAAATGTTGCATTTAGAAAGATACATCCAATCTTATATGATTGATCAGCAACTCATTGGACATAGAAAAGAAACATGTAACTGGAACTATATGTCGTATTCCATTTGACATAGAGAATCTCCAACAGTAGTGTTGGGAGCGCGAGGCGCTCGAACCACCGCGGAAGCTAGTTTATTCCGAGAGAAAACAATCCTAGCTTGAGTTTAAGCCAAACTCAAACTAACCAATACAAGCAATAAACGACTACACATATAAACAGTAAGTAAATGAGGCGGGACAACAGATATACGTGGTTCGGCAAACTTGCCTACGTCCACGGGAGCCACACAATTAATTTCTTATTTAACCACAAGAAATTACAAAGCTTATAAAAGTGAGAATCTCAAACTAGAGCTCTCACAACACCAACTTCCTTCACTGTAGTAAATGCTATAGGAATAATATAATTTTTCTTGACCGAAAAAATGATTCTCAATTAATCATGAGAATTTCCGCTGGAGTTTAAAGCCGCCGCCACAGAGAGAATTTTCTCTTTGATGAAATCGCTAAGGATGGGCTCACTAGCTCCGTGAACAGGGTTTCCCTTTTATAAGGAAACCCTAGGGCAATTGGTGTGCTCCAGCTGGATTCCACCCACGCAGGCGAAATCCCAAACACCCGCAGGCGAGTTCGCTTCTGGCGAGATCCGTTCGCACTCGACCAGGCGAAATCAAGGGCTTCAGGCGACCTCCGCTACAGGTGAGATCCACTCCCCTCAACTCTCCAGGCGAGGTCCCACGCAGACAGGCGAGCTCGAGCTCGCTCGTTTTCTTCCGCGCCCTAGACCAGTAGGTGAGATTCGAGACCACGCCTCTCACACGATCCTCAGGCGAGCTCGACGCGGGACATCCACCGTCGCCGCCGAGCTCCTCCACCGTCGCCGTAGAGGGCTCCGATCTCCGACGAGGTAAGTTCTTCTATAATTCTCCACCTCGTCCATCATTTGATAAACCTCAAATTTTGGACGAACACCAGAAGAACACCCTGAACGCCAAACAGGCCAAAACCAGGCCCAACTAGCTGCGCCACTATACCATGACTGCCTACATACCCTCTGTCCGGGATCAAGCTAACCGTAGTTCTGCTATTGCCCTCTAGGGCAAATCAATACGGACTGATATGGAGCAAGTCCAAACAATACTGAAACTTGCTACCTGACACCACCTTGGTTAACATGTCTGCTGGATTCTCATTCGTGTGGACCTTCATGAGAGAAATATCACCTTCCTCTATGACATCCCGCACAAAATGATACCGGACGTCGATATGCTTGGTACGAGCATGATGAACTTGATTCTTAGCCAAATGAATTACACTCTGACTATCGCACCACGAGTTCACACTATCCTGCTCAATCCCCAGATTGTCTAACAGACCCTACAACCACAATGCTTCCTTCACTCCCTTTGCCATGGCCATGTACTTAGCCTCTGTAGTAGAAAGTGCCACTGTAGCTTGTAACATCGATCGCCAACTAACTGGAGCACCATGTATACTGAATACATAACCAGTAGTAGATTGCCGTCTATCTAGATCACCTGCATAATCTGAGTCCACAAATCCATTAATCTGACATGTCTCTCCACCAAAACACAGACCCATACCCGCGGTACCCTTCAAGTACCTCAGGACCCACTTCACAGCTTCCCAATGCGCCTTTCCCGGATTCGCCATGAATCTGCTGACCACACTAACCGCTTGTGAAATATCTGGGCATGTACACACCATGGCGTACATCAAACTACCAACTGCACTTGCATAAGAAACACGCTCCATGTGTGCCTTATCTTCCGCTGTAGTGGGAGATTGTTTACC